ATGAGCAGACCCTCCTTATTTTCCCAACGCAGCTGCTGCTTTGGTGACAGTGCCTGTTGCGTTTGCTGGGCCCGCGTTTCCACGGGTGACCGTCTCCCTCCTCTTGTCTTGTCAGGACCTGCTGTCCCAGCTCCACCACTACAGCGGGGGGGTGAAGCAGGGGGCGCTGGCGGGGCTGAGGGAGCTGCTGGCCAAGAACCCCTCCCTGCTGGACGCCCACCTGTCCAGCGTGCTGAGCGAGGCCGCCGCCGTCTTCACCGACAAGGAGCCCGGGGTGCGGGCGGCCGCCGTGCGGCTGCTGCGCTTCCTGGCCCCCCGCGTGCCCGCGGAGCGCGTGGCCCCCTTCTTCCCCTTGCTGGGCGCCCACCTGTCCTGCGCCATGACGCACATCGCCGAGGGCATCCAGGAGGACGCGCTGCAGGCGCTCGACGTGCTGCTGGAGCACTACCCTGCCCTGCTGGCCGCTCGCTCCGCCGTGTTGCTCAAGAACTTCCTGGAGCTGATCTCCCAGCAGCGGCTGTGGCGCCGGGGCAGGGGCGGCGAGGAGCGCAAGGCGGCCCCCTGGGCGCTGTCCGTCAGTCCTGGCCGCAGGGTCACCTCCCAGCAGTGGAGGCTCAGTGTGCTCACTAGGTACTGCCGCGGAGCTCTGTTCCGGCTTGAGTATTATTAACCTGCCAGCAGCCATATCGCCCTGCAGCTCACAACTGGCAGCCCACTGAACCTCAGCAGGTGTGAGCCTGGTCAGTACCTGGATGGGAGTCCTCCTGGGAAAAACTAAGGTTGCTGCTGGAAGAGGTGTCAGTGGGACCAGTAGGGGGTGCTCACCCTGCCGTCTGTGTGCATCTTAATGCCCCAGTATAGTGACGGGGACACTATACTGTAAAAAGGCGCCGTCCTTCAGATGAGACGTAAAACGGAGGTACTGACTGCCTTTGGTCATTAAAAATCCCAGGGTGTTTCTTGAAAACAGTAGAGGTGTTAACCTGGGATCTTGGCCAAAGTTCCCCCTGGTCTTTACCAATCATGGCCTCCTAATAATGCCCATCTATGAACTGGCTTCATCACTCTGTTCTCCTCCCCACTGATAGCTGGTGTGTGGTTAGTGTACTGGTGCACTATGGCTGCTGTCACATCATCCAGGTGGGGCTGCACATTGGTGGTGGAGGGGAGTCCCCATTACCAGTATAGCGCTTTGAGTGGAGTGTCCAGAAAAGAGCTATATAAGCGTAAGGAATTAATTAACTTATTGGGCTGATGCTTTTATCTAAAGTGAACTGTGCTTGTTCGCAGTTGTACATCTGGTAATTCAGTAAGGAAAACCTCTAAAGTCCTGAGTACAGTTCTGTCTTGGAGTATCTGTCTGTTGGGAGTTTGCATGCTCTTTCCATGTTGTCGTAAGTCTTTGCTAGGTGTTACCTCCCATAGATCTGCAAGCTATAATTGGTTTGCTGTCCTTTCTGGAAGGCAGGGCAAGGTAGTTGTTTCTAGCTCATCCTTTTCTGGTTATGTGACTGTAGTAAAACTGAAGCAAGTGAAGATGCTGGTTCAAATTGTTGAGTCTCCTCTGGGGCATTCCTGATGCACTATTGCCAGTAATACTGTTACCAGTATCTCTAAATTTTCAACTAATGATTTTAGCCTGGTGTCATGGAAACATTTTCGGGGTAATGTGTTTTTAAGAGCAAGATACTTTATAACTTATGGTAGTATGACTACTAATTAGCTCCAAGTGTTTTATACTGCTAGAAAGCAGTCTTCTGTTTGGAAAGCACTTTGCCTATATAAGTTAAAGTACAGCTGGGCATTAGTGCCTCATAGCTAAATTCGATCAGTGAGGCGTGCATATATTTACAATTTAGAAAGAAACATGCATCAGAAGATATGCATTTTAAATTTTATTTAATCTTTTAAATTTAATCTTCTCTCCAGCGGCCTGTTGCTCAGCGTGTTGTGTGCGTGTCTCTCCAGGCTCGGGCCTGTTGCTCAGCGTGTTGTGCGTGTCTCTCCAGGGGCCTGGTG